GAAAAACTTAGTTAAATGAAAATATTTATTTATTTATATCAAATGGCAGGCGTCTTGATGGTTACCATTAGCCCTTTAGTTGACTTCAAGCTTCATAGAGGGGAAGGAACATCAAATTGAAAAAAGTCGAGAAAGGGGAACAGAAGAGCGTTTCAAAGATATAAGAGACAAACACAAAGGTAGAAAAAAGGTGAGGTGAGTACTGTGAAATAGTCGAATATGGCATAGAGTGAGGTGTTGGTAGTTTGAAGTGAGAAATCAACTGCCAGTTAATAGACTTTTTTGCCGCATGAATATACGTTGCCCAGGGTGCACCACGTGGAGGTAAGTCTATCGCACACCCCTTAAATAGAAATATAAATCTTGCAATTTGTGAAGTGTGAAGAGGTCTTTTACAAAATATAATTGTAGGCCAATGTATGATCGATCGACTATACTCAAGCCATTTGACAACGTACCACAGCACTGTGACCAATTAAAACTATTTACAAGGTTGAAAACACAAGAACTATACCTTTTATCAAATTTATAGCTCATGGAAATATAATGAAAGTTTATTAGCTTAAACTTAAACATCAAACATTAGGAAATCAACAACTATATGTACATATATTATAAATATATATTATTTTACTAGTTAAGTATCTGGTATTATTTTGTTTTAGCCAAGTTTCAGACCTTAAATTGTGGATTTAACTACATCCAATCGACTTGCAAACATTCGCCGTTGGACTTAATCGGTGTTTGTGAGCCCTCAATAACGTATTCAATGGTTCAGGTAAAAGCGATCGATAGCCTACCAAAATCACCTATAAAGGGGACTCTGATGGTGTCAGAAAATAGCCTTCTCCTTCATTCGGAGGCTACATCTCCTGAAGCGTTATGTCTGCTTGATCTTGAGCTCTGCCGTAATGGAATGACTATTTCATTTTGGATACTTGCTCTTCCAACCACTAATTCTAACAAATCATGGCCAATTTTGCAACAAACTAGTCCATCCGGTAGCGAGCTTACCGTGGATCTATTCAGAAATGAGGGACAATATTTTCTGGATGTCGCCGTAAAAAGTCTTCACACCATCACAGATGGCAAGGCCACTTCAACTCTATGGAACGTTAATGTAAGTTCACTCGCTAACATTTTAGGCGCACGAGTCAATGATGTATACTTTGTGACTGGTAAATATCATACTACTTAATTTGGATACTTTAAATTCTTTTCTAATTTGCACACAAGCTTCATATTTTGCATACTGCTTTCATGCTGCATATCCGATTTCGAAAACATGCTTATTGACACCAAGTTATAAATTTATATTTGATTTCCCAAAAGCTGTTGACTTAGTTCTTAATTTTTAGCCACCTATTGAAAACTTGATGGGAAACTGGACGCTGGTGACAATCTCTTGGTCACATGTTGTCGGTCTCACCGCTAAAGTTAATGGCACAATAGTGGCTTTTGATAGGCAATCCACAGAAACAATATCAATCTGGAAGGTTCCTATTCACAGAGGGGTGTGGTTTGGTCATCACGGAAATCCAGATACTTCTGATGGTGTTATAATTGATGACTTCCAATTCATTCCCGCGGAAATCAACTATTTAAGCCACGTGGGTCAAAAGATAGGTAAGTTTAACCAATTGGAATCAATCTCTCGTCAAGACGCCTGTTCGAAAGCGGTTAACATGCGTGTTTTTTTGGTATTTTTTTACGGTTCGGTGTACAGACGTCACACTGTCTAACCAGAATCTGAACGCATGCAGACTGGATACGTGTTGGGATGGCTCTTCGTGCTTTCCCGCTTCGCGTGAAATTGATTCCCTCTGGCCCCTGTAAGTTATAAAAATCCAATGGCGTTTCTAAACTACTTAATGGTGGCGAAGAGAGGTGAAAATTACCTCCCTAATAAGTGGAATTTTACCAATCGAATATGACATAGAGTGGGAGCATGATAGTTTGAAGTGAGAAGCCAACTGCCGATTAATAGACTTTTTTGCCATATGAGAATACGCGGCCCGGGTTGCACCACGTGGAGGTAAGTCTATCGTACACCCCAGATAACCTTCATAAAAATGTTCAAACTACCTGACTTGTGTCGAGATGAGGCCTCCTGACGCTGTTCTTTCAGCATTCACTCGCATCCCTGAAAGTGTTCCGCTGAGCAGTGATCTTCTGACCTCTCATTTATCCGATTTGTGGGTTGACAACTGTGCTACTGGCACACAGTTCACTGATACATCAGTTCTGAATACTGACCATATGAGGTATTATTTTGCAAACTAAAGATCAGATAATAAAATTTTGAAGGCTCTCTCAATGCTCCAATATTGTCATATGGAACTTCTATCTCATACCTTTATTTTTATGGCATATTCTGCTGCTGTTTTGCTAAAATTGACCAATTTATTAAGTGAAAATACCTACATTAATCAAATCTAATTGCAGATGCCAATTAGATTTATAAGTAAAACTCGAAATTATCTAATAAATTCAAATGTACTTTCCTTTGCAAGATTCGCTTATTTTCAGCTTAATCTTATGCTCTGTGATTGTCCAATGAAATTGCTGTCACTATCCACCAACGCCTATTCTTCCATTCCAATGAACTGGAATGTTGACAGTTTGAGCTCGGCAAGCATAACTTGCATATGCATCAACAGCAGAGTAAACCTAAAATGGTGCTAATCCCGATCCACAAAACTTTCATTTTCAATTAGTAAAATACAGATTCGCTTTAATGGGTAGTACCACTCATATTTCAATAGAAGATGAAAAGTAAGCTCAACTTGGAAACTTAGCTAAGTGGAGTATCTGCGATTTATTATAGCTGTCGATGTGACCGACCGATAAGAGTATGCAGAGAGCTACCAGTTGGAGTCGCAGTCTATACGTCAACATCAAGCAGTACTACAACGACTCAAGCTCCAACCACGAGTGCATTGATGATGAGAACGACGACGCCATGGATAATCTCGGAACCGTCAGAATTATCACTTACCACCAATGCTTCAACAACGCAATCTCTAAATTCGCCTACCACACCGAAGCCGACAACTTTAATACCGCTAATAAAAGAGATACAACAACAAAGTACTCCAGACCAATCTTCTCTACCCCAAGGCAGATTTAAAGATGCTGGTGACCTCTCCCGAGATTTTAAACCAACACCTCCTCACAATTATGACAAGCAACCTTGGCCTAAATGTGACCCTCCATGCCGAAATGGTGGGAAGTGTGTGGAATTGAATGGTCATACCTCTTGCGATTGCTCTGAGACTTCTTTTTGGGGAAAAGTATGTTCGAGAGGTAAATAAAACCACATTAGATATTAAATCATTCTTTTATAAATAACTAGCACTTATTAATTCACTTTGCAGAGCATGTGGGTTGGCTTTTACAAACGGAGAGACTGTTTAAAATGGAACCACGAGGGCACAGAACATTCGCAACAAACAATGACGTGCGCGGTGGCTCAAAAATGAGATTTATTTTCAAAACTCCCATTTCTGCAATCACGCCTGATAAGCGGGTTAAAAAGTCAATTGCGACGATCAAAAGATCTGAATACATGGTTCTACTGTCGGTTCAAACAGAACTTGGTACCCTCGGTCTAGTTACAGTTAGTATTCTTTATTTCACTATCACAATAAATGAGATAAACATTGTAACATTAACATTAATATGGACCAATTCAAATCTATTTCTAACAATAGTAGTTCATTTTTCGAATAAAGTTATCTTAGACACAGTCGAATATGCACCAAATCCGAGTTTTCTGACTTCACTCTCCTGTAGTTAGATGTATTTTCGAATCTCCCACAGTAAATTGAAGGATAAGTCATTAGAGAAATCCCGATTTCTCAAATGGGGGTGATTTCGGGCTATATGTTTGCTTGTTCGAATTGTAGTCATTGATTTATTTTTGTGAAAAAAGTTTATTTTTTATCTGCCAGATTGCCGATTTTTGGCGAAAACGTCACTGAAAATTTGATTAAAAAGCACGACCTCAAAAATTGTTATTAATCAGTTTTCATGGTTGGCATTAGTTACCTTTTTTAACCAACAAAGCAAACATTTTTTGTAAATTTGGGGGGGGGGGATATTGAGAATGGTAATACCTAATATTACTTGATCTATGGTTGGAGGGAATTGCATAAATCAGTAAATATATCGATTTTCAAACTTCTATACTTCAGGTCAACGGTGATTTGTATATCCTCATTAGAGGGGTCAAGAACTCGATGACACAGCTTTTACCATGTCCTCAAAGTCACGAGCTAATTACGGATGACACTCTCGCTCATGTAATTCAACTGGAGCATCGGGGTACACTACTGCGGATGAAAGTGGATGGAATAAAAGTATACCCAATGGAGGCCATGCCGAATTCGTGTGACAAATGGCTCTTCTTCTCACCTTACCATCATATTAACAGTGAGTCCTGGCTTATTTGTTTAACCCTCTAACGCCCTTATGACCGTATCCGCTTTTCAATAAGCCTTGGAAGTGTTTAAAAAGTGCATTATACTGATTGTATTCAGAGATTTGTTAATCAAATAACTCAGTTTTGAAAGACGATTTCACAATTAATCCAGCAGAAGTGGATCTGTCAAGCGTTTAAAAAACAAAAAAACTACGTTCATAGAAGAAATATACGTGATCACCGCGTCTATTGTGCACCCAATTCAGTTTATGATACAGTAACCATGTAGATCATCAAATGCTTTTAGTCCAAATGGGAATAAAGTGTTCTTCCATTACCTGGTATGTGAACGCAAATAAGTGTTATTTGTAGATTGTTGAACTATTTCTACTCCTAACTATTGCTCCATTTTTCCCTACGTTCTTAAACCCAAGATCATACAGAAAAGAAGAAGAAGAACATTTTAGCCCGCCCAAATTGTCGGCATTCCATGAACTGTCAAGTTGAGTACTAGGAAAGGAAACGCAGAACACGTATTGCGGATAAATGGAGTTAGCATTGAAATAATTAGATTTGAGATGAAATTAACATCTCCTAGATATCTCTACTAGCAGCCAATGGACTTAATCTGGGTCCTACTTCTACAACCTGGTTAATATTGGCATCATTTCAATGATACCTTTTATATTCAAAAAAAGCCATCAATTAGGTACAACTGCAATTTCTACAATTTCTTCAATTTGGCATGGTTTATCTTCCTTTTACCCTCTACGTTTTCATAGCATCTACAAATTCACCCTTTTCAGATCGTACATATGAGGAGACGACGATTCCACGGAGTACTGGCTTCAGTCCAAATAGTGGCAAGGCGTTTCTTGGGGCTTGGCCAGACGGAGAAGGCGAATTTAAAGGAGCAATCGGAGGTGTGTTTATTTATATCAAATGGCAGGCGTTTTGATAGCTATCATTAATTATTCAAATGGCAGGCGTTTTGATAGCTATCATTAGCCCTTTAACTGACTTCGGTATGGCAGGCGTTTTGATAGCTATCATTAGCCCTTTAGTTGGTGGCAGGCGTTTTGATAGATATCATTAGCCATTTAGCTGAGTCACTCAATGCCATAACATTTATTTATTTCAAAATATATATATATATATTTATTTATTTCAAATGGTTCATAATGAAGTTTCAATATTTATTTATTTATTTCAAATGGCCGGCGTTTTGATAGTTATCATTAGCCCTTTAGCTGACTTCACGTTTTGATAGCTATCATTAGCCCTTTAATTGACTTCGGGGCTTCACAGAGAGGAGAAGGGACATCAAAGTGACAAAAAGTCGAAATGGGAGACAGAATAATGATTCACAGAGGTAAAAGAAAACAGACAGACAGACACAAAGGCAGAGAAAAGGCTAGATGAATGACAGACAGACAGACACAAAGGCATAAAAAAGGTAAGATGGGTACTGTGGAAGGGGTCGAATATGGCAAATAGTCGGGTCATAGAAATTTGAAGTCGGAAGTCAACTGTCGATCAATAGACTTTTTTGCCGTTTAAGTATACGTTGCCCAGAGTGCACTATGTGGAGGTAAGTCTATTGCGCACCCCAGGAGGTGTGTCACATTTACTTTAAACCAAAGTGTCCACTCTCATTGTGGAAATCAGGTCTCCTATTAGCCATATTAGCAGCAATACGTGCCATGGCAATTTTTGTAACCACAATAGTGAAATCAGATGGTAACTATCATTACAACGAAACTGCTATATTCATGCAACTGACATAGGTATTTTGAAGGCAAGAGCACTGGATTTTCTGATTATGCGTAATTTAATGCTCACAAATGATTCCTGCAAATTCCAGAAACTGCGAATATTTGGTAACTACTTCATAATAAGAGAAGCGGTGAACAAAAATTTATAGTTGACTTCAGGCTTCACAGAGGAGGAGGAGGAACATCAAAGTGAAATAAGTCGAGAGGAGGAAAACTGAAGGGTGTTTTAAAGACGAAGGTTGAAAATTTAGAAAAAAATGTGACGTAGTACTGTGAAAGTGGTCGAATATGTCATACAGTGGGGTCATGGTAGTTTGAAGTTGCCCAGGGTGCACCACGTGGAGGTAAGTCTATCGCACTCCCCAC